AAACATCTATGAATCAACAAAGATGTTTTTAATCATTCAGTGAGAAGTGAGAAACAGGTTTTTCACATCGCCAATTCAGCTGATAATTTGTAAAGAATACTAGGGCTAGTTAATGTTTAATGATGAATTGCGAACTCGGGGAATGACAGAATAAGAACTATGAATTGAAGATGAAAAACATATTTATCGAGGAACTCACCAAATAAAATAGATTTATAAACCACGATAAATATTTTAGAAGATAAGTTTTAAACCGACGCAACTCTAAAGATGAAAAATAGGTTGATATCACAAACAAAATGATTAAGTATCCTAAAAATAAATAGTGTAAATATTCAATTCGTGAATATATAGAATAATAAGTTCTATCAATTTAAAAATCTGAAACAAAAATGGTGCTGAAATGTGTAACAATTCAATACGACAAACAAACAATTAAATGGAGAAGTAACAGGCCAGTTTGCAAAAATAACCTATCTAAAATAAAAATGCAATGATCAGAACAAACGCATTTTATTGAAAAATACAATTGCCAAAACACTAACAGTCCACGTATATTGAGTACAACTGGAAAACTAGTGCTTCAACGAGAACAATTTAAACTGAATTAAGGAATACGATTGAGTAGTTCTTCAGACCAACTTCATTGTCGCGATGAACCAACCGGGGAAAAGCGCCATATATATATATATATATATTAATTATGCCACTATTACGTCCATGCACATGCATATCACGGTCAGCTGGGTTTAACCATCGAATTTGAGCGCCATCTATCAAAGAAATTTTTTTTTATAGATTGTATAAATGTGCTGAAAAATAAAATTTGTTTGAAACACAGTTTATAGTATTAATAAGAGTCTGTTATTTTTTCAATTATGTTTGGCTGTTGTTATGAGCCATTCTCTTCACAGTGACATTCTCTATAGATAGATAAATAAATGAATTATTACTGTTGATTCATTAGTCACGAAACGTGACTAACGCTTGTGCTAACCAAAAGAGTATTTAATTTTCAACTTGTAAAATCAAATTGAATTCGTATTAAAAAACATGAAGTATGTCGAAGTTGAATTTTTCGGAGTGATACAAATTAATCGTTTGAGTTTCTGGTACCAATTTGTTCAGATAGAAAACGATCAATAAATGAGAAGAAAAGGCTATCGTACATACAAATAAAACTTGTTCAAATATTGAAATTTATTTCAGATGTTTTTTCTTCAATTAGTTCAGCATCAAGCAGTGTAACAATCACTACAGTTGTGAATTTTCTTAAAACTATTTTTTGTAAGTTACTTTTTGTGTAATTTGAAACAAAATGAAGAAAACGAAGTCTTTTCAATAAATCACTATTTATTGAAACTAAGATTTTCAGTTCATTTTTTTAATTATGGCGGGGGAATCGTTGGTCAACTTGTACGACTGCAAGGATGCCATATCTTAGCTTTCAAAAATCTAACTGTACTCAGTCGTCATCAGAGCCCAATCTTAGTAGTTCTCTACTACAGACAAAATCATCCAGTAGCATTTAGCTAATTGAGTTTGATATACAGATTCAAAATTTTAGCTGACTCCTGCGATTGTTCCACTCAAACTAAGAACATGGTGATTGAGATGATAGAAGTTCTCAGTAGCTAATGATACAGTGCACGCATCAAACTAAAAACGATGTACTCAGATGGTCTGGTTAATCTTAGATTTTATTGAAATAGTGCTAAATTTTCTCGGATTCAATATTTCTCTTGTTCTATCAAGTTCTATGCTGAAAATTAGTCATTATCTAATTCTGATATTTTACATAAGTTTTTCATTTCTGCATTAGATTAGATCGAATTAGCGCAGATTAAACAAAAGTGTTGCGAAGGGACGAACGAAGAAAATCACGAGGACGATATTTTCTGGTTTTTGATTACGAATCAACTTGAAGACATCAAATAGACTGGCTATTTGAAATAGAGAGAGAATGATTCAATGCGCAGTGAAGAAACCGAATATGATCTAATACAGCATTACCAGGTGCGTTATTTCGCGACGAGATCATTAAACTACTCTAGGGTCACAAAAAATAACTCATCGAACACGTAAAAGTACCTCTGAGATTTAAAGCTAGTAAGAGAGTTATTTATCCTGTATAACATTAGCTTAGTAGATAAAAGGTAATCTACAGATTTGATTGTTTCGATCGTTGTATATATTGGAACTTTTCCCGAAGTTCTCTTTTCTCCGATAATTCCAAAGCTCTTTTTTTGTTTGCACAAAGTCTTGGTGAGTGGCAAGAAACTAAATTATTATTTATCAGGCAAACCAATAAATAAATCGAATGAAATGGACGATGGATTTCTTAGTTCGATCGATCTTCTTTAAATTTTCATTTTATTTATATAGAAAAAAAGAAGAGAAAAGGCTAATGTGCTAGTCTTCTCATACTTAATTCCTTTTTTTTCGCTTTTCTATTCTGTTTTGTCATTTATGCTTTACCTGTGAGTAAAAGTGTATAATGATGAGAAAATAAGCAAGTAATTTTTAATGCAAAAGAAAAGAAAAAGAGAGACTACTTTATTCTGTAAACATTAGGTTCGTTGTCCTATATAATTATTTCTTTTTTTTTCTTTACTCTGTCTGCAATTTGATTCTGTTAAGTAATATGTTATTGAATAGAACATATCATCGATTCATAGTTTACTGTCTTATAATTCTAAATATGATCAAGCATCGGAAACGAAACAACGGTGGAGACGAGTCTTTATTTCGAGAAATTCTTTGTTGAAAAGAATGTTTAATATTTATATTCACTAGTCTATTTTATTCGAAAACATAATTCTTTTTTTATTTTTATTTACTATAGATGAATAAAATCAAACCATTTTTCAATGGCAATAAGTAAGTGTTACAGATTTTCATTCAGTTATTGCTCAATTCAATATTTAAAAATACAATTCATTAACATGACTTCATAAAATATTATTTATCTTTAAGAAGAAATAAAGATTTTTATCATTATCTTATCGTAGATTTACTGAATCATTGTTGATTCTAAACTTGTTGTCAAAACATATCTTTATATTTTCCTATGAAAATAAACTCTTATTAACTGTGATAAAAGGTAGTTTTCTTTTGAAGAAAAAACTATTTTTATCGTCGAAAATCCTAATGAAATATAATTTTCTTAGTGATAGTGTTCTCTTAGTAGATTTTGAAAGATATCATTGAAGAAAATTTTGTTGTTAAGATTCTTACAATTGATGAAATGATCAACGGAAATAATTGATTTAATTCTCTAGTAACATTTTAGAAGAAACAGTAAAAGAATGTTCATTTAGAAATAAAATTTGACTCAGTTATGAAAATCGATTTTTATATAAACTTTTATCTGTTACTCTTTATAAGACAAGAAAAATATGATTTCAATTTTAGAAATGACGATTTTCCTGTGTTCCGAAATCGTGTTCGTTATATTCGAGATTCATGAAAAGTTCTAAATGATCTTTGGAAAACAGACAAGGACTTTGTAAGTTAATTTTATGAAATAATAAATACCATGTTATTTTCTAAAACAAATTTCATTCTAGTTAAATAAAAGCATCGATAGCGATGTTTTAAAAGCATTTAAAGAGCTCCGTTTGAGTAGTGTTGCACAAAATAATTGCTCTCCATTTGGACAAAATGGTTCTCCGTCGATTTTAAATTCGACGATTGATGATTTCATAGAAATACATGAATATATTGATAAAAAAAGAAAAGACTGGCTTGAAGAATTTCGAAAAATTGATGAGCAAGCAAAAGAAAGAAAAATTGTTTTATTTTGGTTTTTTTCTTTTATACGAAAATCAATTTCTTTTTCAATAGTTATATATTCGACAAACTATGGCAGATTTTCGAGATAATTTTGAACGTGCGCAACGAAAATTTGAAGCCGCTGATGGGAATTTGAAAAAGTTTGTTTTTATATTGATTTGTTAAATAAAAACATTTCAGGTTTCTTATGTTTTATTTCTTTATAGATTTCGAAGTCGATCCGATTCCGGTGCAGTTCCAAATTATGATGAACGTTGTCGTGAACTGGAAGATATTCGCGGAGAATGTGATCAAGCTCGAATATTACATCGTGATAACTATATAACAGAAACAAATCGTATAGCCAGTGAAGAACATTCTATAACTTCTAATTTCTTTGTCAACTTTTTAATGGAAGAACAATCGTTTTATCACAGGGGTGGCGGAGCGTCATTAAGCTAGGTGAGGCTCATCATATTTTTTTTGCTACCGTGGAATTTTATGAAACATCAAGTAGTAAATAAGTCTTCTTTTTATTGAACCTCAGTAAAAATAAAAATGG